GGTCTTTCTTAGAACTCCAAAATGTTGTTTAACTTGCTCAGTTTTGGAGGATGTGTTGTTTGGATGATGTTGGAATCAGTTCCCAGTGATTTATACTAGACGGTATTAGAGTGTCACACTCAAACACTGTTTCTCTCAAACACACTTCTCCTCACCTACAACTGATCACTGGCTCAACAGGCATATAGGCCTTGGACTTTGGCTCTAGGCACCCTCAGTGACCTCTGGGCCTGCTCAGAAACACTATCCATACTTTCCGAGGGCTTGAGTTGGGGCAAGTCTTTCTCTTCATTTAGGAAAGTTACAAGTGGTACCTCAGGACCTGTCTGTCCCAGTTTCCCTCGCCAGCTGCGGTAGTCAGTTTCAGCACATCTAAATGTTGGAGCATATTCAGGAGACATGTTGTAAGCCTCCAACATTTAGTTCTTGCTCCTATTGTAGTTAAGCCAGGTGTTTGGAGGACAGCCTTCCATATGGTGATTCAGGAATCTGGGCTTCCTCTTTCCAGTGGTACTATTGACATTTTCCCTAGGAGATGACGGAAGAGAGAGAGAGCAGAGGACCTCACAGGAAACACTGAGGCCCAGGCTTGGAAACAGCATATGCCACCTCCACTCATCTCTCTCTGGCCACAGCTCCTTCATATTACCCCCATCTAGCTGTGTATCTAGGAGGAGGGAATGCATGTGATGAGCCCCTGGCCAATCTCTCCCTCCCCATCTCATCCAGGAGGCTGGGGAGGCCTCACACAAGTAAGACTCTTGGGGGTCTGCTCTTGTACTCCAGGGTTATTCTTCCTGCAGCAACCCTTGCTATTGATGAATTTTTAATATTAAAATCTGTATGTGTCTACTTATATTTTTGTTAAATCTTCTACAACATTTTTACCAAATACGGTATTTCCTAAACAATGCATTATGCAGTTGAAGATGCTCAGCAAAGTAATCCTATTCACTACAGTTCTCAGTCCCATTGAGTGTTCTCTGGCAGCTTAGTCCCCACACAAAGACCCCGACATTGGTGGTCTTCAAGCCTTGGACACATTAGAGGCTCTTCAAGACTCAGGGGAGGCCTACGTGCTTCAGTCTTCCTCTAAAGGGCCATCTTTACACATGCAGTTGTGCAGTGTGAGAGGGTCGTTGGTAATGCACCAGCAAAAGCAGTCATCGCTGGAGTGGCACAGCATCTCCTAATACTCAAGACAGTGTTGTAGGATTGGCAGTGAATGAAGGGCTCACTGTGCTGTGTGGGAAACTGGAACATGGCAATGCAGCCTTTCCCTAAGACTCTTTCTGCCCTGAGATGGGAGATGATACTCTGCTGCTGACAGGTCAATCTGGGAGAGACTTGGCAGTGAGCAAAAGCCTCTCCACAGAGACCTTGCTCAGTGAAGCTCCTTGAAGGAAGGGGGAAGCCTTTATTCATTTTGGCCTGGCACCTGACACACAGCTGGTGCTTGATGAATGTGACCTGCAAAGGACAAATATTTCTTAGGCGCATCAGGTTGGACTGGGAGTGGAAGGTGGGGAGGTGAAAGAGAGTGTGTGATGAAAACAACAATGGGTCAAACATTCTGATTGCAAAAAGTGTTGTTGTTAACAACTATTTTTTTTGAGGCAGGCAGATCTGGGTTCACATCTTACATGTGTCACTTACCTGCTATGTGATCTCGAGCAAGGCTGTAACCTCTCTGGGCCTCAATTCCCTTTATCTACAGAAGTGACACTTAATGCCTACCTCACCCAGGAAGGTGAGGGTTAAGTGAGGTAATGACAGTGCACACCTATGTATGGTGCCTTCTGTCATACACAGAGGATGGGATCAGATGCTTTTTTGCAGCACCCACCTCCCGCTGGCCCATCCTGGAGGTGGCCTTCAGATGGTTCCTCTGTACCAATGACTTCCTGCCACTCTCTGTCTATGAGCGTTCTCTGATTGTGGGAGCAGGTTCACCCGTGCATAGAACAAGCTGGAAGAGCCAGGGAGTTAGCCCCAAAGGTGATATTCAGCCAGGGAGGGGCTCCTGTTTGATCTCCCATTTCAGTGTGCAAATTTGGAGGCGTGCTTCACAGTTTCTTAGGAGGTCTCCAGTGCGGCTGAACCCCAGTTGATGCAGCATTAACCTGTTCATGAGCATATTTATCTTAGGTTTCCATTCTCCTCATTCTCACCATCCCACTCCTTTACAAAGCTTTCTGGGAGCCCCTCTCAAATAAACTACTTCCTCCTAAATCCTTGCCTTAGGAAGACTCCAAACACATGGACTGGAGGAATCAATGATAATGACTGTTGTCAGTTTTCAAAGGGCGCAGGTATGGGTAGTTAACACAGGGACATATAAAGCATAACAGAAGAAAACAAGATTACTAACTACCCCCTGAAGGCATCTAGTAATGCTTCCAGAAAGAAAGCGTGGCACTGTGTGATTTGGAGAGTGTGGTACGGTGTAATCTTGAGGTTGTGATGCAGTGTTATGTGGAGAGTGTGGTACGACGTAATCTGGAGAGGGTGGTACACAGTGATCTGGAGAGTTTGGTATGGTGTGAATTGGAGTGTGTGGTGCGTTGTGATCTTGAGGGTGTGGTACGGTGTGATCTGGAGAGTGTGGTATGGTGTAATCTGGAGAAGATGGTACACTGATCTTGAGGGTGTGGTACGGTGTGATCTTGAGGGTGTGGTACAGCATAGTCTGGAGAAGGTGGTACACTGTGATCTGGAGAGTGTGGCACCGTGTGATTTGGAGAGCTTGGTATAGTATGAATTGGAGAGTTTGGTATGGTATGAATTGGGGAGTTTGGTATGGTGTGAATTGGAGAGTGTGGTACTGTGTGGTCTGGAGGATGTGGTACTGTGTGATCTGAAGAGTTTGGTATGTTGTGAATTGGAGAGTTTGGTATGGTATGAATTGGAGAGTGTGGCACTGTGTGATCTGGAGAGTTTGGTATGGTATGAATTGGAGAGTTTGGTATGATGTGAATTGGAGAGTGTGGTACTGTGTGGTCTGGAGGATGTGGTACTGTGTGATCTGAAGAGTTTGGTATGTTGTGAATTGGAGAGTTTGGTATGGTATGAATTGGAGAGTGTGGCACTGTGTGATCTGGAGAGTTTGATATGGTATGAATTGGAAAGTGTGGTACTGTGTGGTCTGGAGAGTTTGGTATGGTGTGAATTGGAGAGTGTGGTACTGTGTGGTCTGGAGAGTTTGGTATGGTGTGAATTGGAGAGAGTGGTACTGTGTGGTCTGGAGGATGTGGTACTGTATGATCTGGAGAGTGTGGCACTGTGTGATTTGGAGAGTTTGGTATGGGGTGAATTGGAGAGTGTGGTACTGTGTGGTCTGGAGGATGTGCTACTGTGTGATCTGCAGAGTGTGGCACTGTGTGATCTGGAGAGTTTGGTATGGGGTGAATTGGAGATTGTGGTACTATGTGGTCTGGAGGATGTGGTACTGTATGATCTGGAGAGTTTGGTATGGTGTGAATTGGAGAGTGTGGTACTGTGTGGTCTGGAGGATGCGGTACTGTGTGATCTGGTGAGTGTTGTATGGTCTGATCTGGAGAGTGTGGCACCGTGTGATCTGGAGAGTTTGGTATGGAGTGAATTGGAGATTATGGTACTGTGTGGTCTGGAGGATGCGGTACTGTGTGATCTGGTGAGTGTTGTATGGTCTGATCTGGAGAGTGTGGTAGTAACTCACCTGGATATTAAAGGATATAAAGGATTTCTGCATAAGGAGGTGGGTGAGGGAAGGGTATTCCGTGGAAGAAACAAGGTTTTGTGTCCATTTCTTCAGCGATGCTTACAAAAGCTATATGTGGATTTGTGGAGCAGGCAAGTTAGGGGGCCCATACACTCGTCTCATGTGGATGCAGAACTCCTCAGGTGGCGTGGCCCTGCCATCAGTTATCTCTGCTCAGCACACTTTCAGGCTGTGCTTCTTGGTCCATATGATGTAGTATTAGTGCTTTTCTTCTACCTCTGAAGACTGTGGCCCTGTGCGATAAGCCTAATATTTGTGTTCCCCAAAATTCTTATGTTGAAATTCTGACCGCCAAGGTGATGGTATTAGGAGGTATGGTGTTTGGGAGGTGATAAGGTCATGAGGGTAGAGCACACATATATGGGAAAGAGTCCTATGTAAGAGGCCTGAGAGAGATGCCTTTCCCCTTGACCAGGAGAGGACAGTGAGAAGGTGCTGTCTATGAGCCAAAAGACAGGCCCTCACCAGACACCAAATCTACCTTGATCTCAGACTTCAAACCTCCAGAATTTGAGAAGTAAATGCCAGGTTTTCATGAACACTCAGTTTATGGTAGTTTGTTATAGCAGCCCAAATGGACTAAGAACACCCTGTCATCTCTTGTCCTTGCCATGCCATTTGTCATGGTCTGTGGAGTTCCTCCTGAGTGTCCTGAACAGTTGTCCACTGGAGCTTCCTGTATCTCTAGTCTTCTTAAGGCACCTATGAGGTTTCTGCTCAGTGTCTCTGAGTCCTTCTGGGAATGCCAGCTGACTCCTCTGCTTGGACCTGATAGAACACCCTGGGCCCATGACCTATGAGTCTGAGATCTTAGGCTCAAGCTGTTTGTTTCACTCATCTTGTCTATAACAAGCTTTCATCATTGGAGTAAATGACCGGGAAATGTCTTAGGTTACCTAGAGCATATGCAGATGACTGCTTTCCTGCATTCATCCAAATTAATGCCAAAATTAATTCAGCATTTTTTTCTGCTAAAATGAAAGAGAGAAAGAGGAATCAAGAGGAATCAAGACGGCGAAAGACGGTGATCCTCTATTTTTTTTACCCTTCTGTAACCTCGTATTACCTGGCAGACCACCTGGGCTTCAGATGACTTCAGATCTGACGTGCCTGAGAGATGGGTCTCGTGGTTTTTGCTGTGAAGGAGTCAGCTGAGAGATAGTAGCTTGTGTCTAGGTCAAAACTCTGGAGAGGTGAGAAATCTCACCCCGATCTCATCAGCCTCGCTCTTTTCTTACAGAGGTTCCGAAAACAGAACAGACTTTTGAAGAGCGCCTGATCCTCAAAGCTTTCTTGCTCAAGTTTGTCAATGCCTACTCCCCCATCTTCTATGTGGCCTTTTTCAAGGGGAGGTGAGTATGATGGTGTCATGAGTAGAAAGGCAATTTTTCACTAAGACTTGGTTCTCTACTGTCAGGACAATAGGGTCAGCCTGTCCCCATTGCCCACTCATCCTCACCCCACTTCCACCTGCCTTCCCATGGAGAAGGAATGCTAGCATGCAATCATTTTGAATTAGCATCTTGAGATTCTGATGACCCTGGCATTTTACAGGGATTTGACTGTATGCCCTGAAGAGAAAGTTTTGAAAGAATTTGTGTCTCCCAACTTTGAGGATGAGGCAGGAGGGAATTTCACATCTAGCCAGTGACCCTGGATCTTGTAATGCAATTCTGATGCCAACTACCTGGAGTTAATACAGATTTCACAGGTTAAGGACACAGCCCCTCACAAGACTTCCCTCACTTCATACACCAGTGGCAAGCTCTGGGGTTCTCAGGCCACTGGCAGTTGTGACCCACTGGCTGTAATTCCAGATTTCTCATTACTCCATCAAATTCAATAATTCACTAGAATGACTCACAGAACTCAGAAATGTGCTATACTTACAACTGAAGTTTTATAGTAATAGAGGGATGTAAATCCAAATCAGCAAATGGGAGAGGCATATAGAACTAGGTTTAGGAGGTTCTTAATCATGAAGCTCCCATGTCCTCAGGATGTGTCACCCTCCTGGCACATTGGAGTGGCATGATTGATAGAATCATTTGCCATGTGAGTGAACTCAATCTCCAATGCCCTTCCCTTGCCCTGAGATTGGGCTAGTATCACATGACTCAAAGCCTCAACCAACATGGTTGATCCTTCTGGCCTGGCTTGCCCACATCCTGAGTAATCTCATTAGCATAAATTTAGGTATAGTCCTAGGGGTCTACCAGGAATAACAAAGATGCTCCTATCATGGGAAATTCCAAGGATTTAGGTGTTCATGCAGGAACCAGGGACAAAGGCCAGTGAAATTCTTTATTATACAATCAGTCTGGATGTAAAATCACTTTGATAAATATTTTTTTATGATCAAGTCAGTTGGCTACCTACAAGGAAATTTCCCAATAGACGTCAACCAACAACACATCAGGAAAGCTTCCCTAGAACTAAAAGCTCGTTAAGCAGGCACTAATAGCACGAGCTGTCATCATCCACACTTGATAATTTCTTACAGAGGTGTTTGTCATCCACACCACAGCCCCCTTCTCAGGACCTCTCCCCTTGGCTGACATGAAATTATAGAAGCAGAGAGACTATCCATATTAAGAAGTATACACTTCATTGGTGCTTTCAATGTAGATTTAGTGGCAATAGCAAGTTACATGCATATGACATTCTAGGCAAGAAAAAAGGATCCTGACCCTTAGATGAACGATGGTATACTAGAAGAGATAGTCTTAGCAATAGCACACTGTAATCTCCAGTAAGTGATTATATCCAGTAAGTGATATCAAAAGAGGTGTAAAGAAAGTGTTGGGGGAACAGTTATGAACGGAGACAACAAGAAGACTTCAGCAAAGGAAAGGCTTACACTCAGCCTTAAATGGATGAGTAGGATCTCAACAGATGAACACGGGGATGACACTGCAGTAGGTAGGATTATTCAGATTGTCTGTCTGGTTCCATGGTGGGCTTGTACCATTTTGCTTCCCCGACCTGCACCATTTTATTATCACCCAATAAAATAGACTCTACTTAGAAGAGGAATGAGACCAGCTTCTTTTATTCCTTTGAATATTTTCAGCAAGAAGTCAAGAATTTTTCTTTTCTGACCCCAGGAATCTCTATTTGCAACTTTAGTCCATCTCACCCTCCCTTTCCTGGGAATGAGAAACTCTTATTAAGGAGTTGCAATCAGAGCTGTGTTCTTGACACTAGTTAGGGAAGAAGGTGTGACGACAGTGCACTTAGAGATAATCCAAACTGCATGGTGTTTAGGCGCGCGCACACACACACACACACACACACACACACACGCACGCACGCACCAGGCCCAGCTTCATCCTCTGCCCAGCTTATCCCTCTCCTCTGACATTTGACTGGGTTAAGAAGTGAACCCCAGGTGTTACAGGGGGTTACTTGTTGATAACGGTGTGCACTCCTATCCCTGAGTGATCTAGCACTCGCCCTGAACAGTGCTTTCGAAGAGGACAGTGGTGGTGGTATTCCCCTCAGAAGACATGTCCTTGAGCCACCCTTCATGCTTTCTCTTCCCCTAACTCTTCCCACACTGTTTGATTTCAGGTTTGTGGGCAGGCCTGGAAGCTACGTCTATGTATTCGATGGTTACCGCATGGAAGAGGCAAGTACAGCCACTGGTGTTTCATGCCTGGCACCCCAACCCAGCCCCATTCTTATCTCCAGCACAGCATGGCTTCATTTGCGCCCCTACTTCTCAGAGCTCCGCTTGTTCTAACCAGTCCTTTCCTTATCTTCTCCCTGCAGTGCGCTCCAGGGGGCTGTCTCATGGAGCTCTGCATTCAGCTCAGCATCATCATGTTGGGGAAGCAGTTGATCCAGAACAACATCTTTGAGATTGGAGTCCCGTACGTAATGAACTCCTCTAACCTCTCTCCTTGCTGCCAGGGGTTAGCCCAGAAGTGCCAGGCTTTCACCAGGTTATCTATGGCCTTTCCTCTTCTTAGACAGCTTGGTGATTTAATTCTCTGTCAATTTGCTGATAACTTTCCCCATGGGGCAAACCTTGCTTGCCATTCTGATTTGAGATGTTGGAGGCTCAGAAAGATTTACCCTTTGCTTAAGTACACATAACTAGTAAGTAGCAGAGCCAGGAGTCAGATCTCTTGGCTCCCAGAGTACATAATATTTTAATGCTATTTGTCCTCTCAGTGAGTGAGTAAAAAAGACTCGGTATGGTGGATAAATGAATGTGAACGATTGAAATGTAATGGAATCATTTAGGACAATCTCTAAGAAGAAAATGTGGAATACATAATCTTAGGAGGGGAGGGCGGAATAGTTGGTGAAATGCAGAATGAGTTATTATCACGTGGATTCCCCCCTATGCTCCCCAGGGTTTTATGAAAATGTCGTAGAACTTCTTTCAGTCAGGTTTTGCATTGAGATAGTCACGAAAATAAACACAGACTCACTTTGTACTGGACCTAAAAGAAGGAAGGATGGAGCAAGCTAAACTATGCTTACAGGTCAAAGAAAAATGTAACCCCCTCTGCCTTTCCTTCCTATTGCCTTGTGGTTTGGAAGAAGAGTCTGTTTCAGGGGATGCTTTTAGGCAGTCCAGCATCAGAGAGCTAGGGAATGACAGAGATGCCCAGGGGTAACTGAGAGGCTGGGCCAGGCCTGCTTAGGAGGATAGATGGACAGCTTGTTCCAGGCTCAGGGTTCTTTGTAAACCACTTTAAAGATGACCATTCTGGGATGGATGTAATCGTCAGACAGTACCCATAAGATTCTGTGACACACTTTCATCTGCTTAGAGATACATTAATTGTTTGGGAAGTCATCCAATAATGAACCTTTTAAAATCCCTTTCTTTCCAAATATATTTATTCGTGTTTGCCCAGGGTTCTTAGCTGCAGCTATTGGAATTCAGTGTGGCTACTTTAAGCAACAAAGGCATTTGTTTCAGAACAAAGTGACTGACAGAGAATGCTGTATTCTTTAAAGGCCAGAGAGTAGGCGCTGAGCTACATAACCAGGAATAACACTGTTTACACTGCAGGGAGACTTGCAGGGGATACCACTGTCTCTAGCTCATGGCTCATACTGCTAAGACAGTAAAAGAAAAACGTAGATGAAACGGCCCTTGTCTTCCCAGAGCTTAACTTTTTAGTCTGGGAGACAAAATAGACTGCATATAACTGCATATTCTGTGTGTGAATTCAGAATCCAGAATAAGTAAAGGTCAGATGTTTGGGAGCAGTCAAAGAAGCCTTCAAAAGCAGAGAGGTTTCTGGCCAGGTGCGGTGGCTCACCCCTGTAATCCCAGCACTTTGGGAGGCCGAGGTGGGTGGATCACGAGGTCAGGAGTTCAAGACCAGCCTGACCAATATGGTGAAATTCCATCCATCTCTATTAAAAAAAAATACAAAAATTAGCCGGGCGTGGTGGTGTGTGCCTGTAGTCCCAGCTACTCAGGAGGCTGAGGCAGGAGAATTGCTTGAACCCAGGAGGCGGAGGTTGCAGTGAGCCGAGATCATGCCACTGTACTCCAGCCTAGCAACAGAGCAAGACTCTGTCTCAAAAAATAAAAAATTAAAAATTAAAAATAAATACATAAATACATAAATAAATGAAAAACAGAGAGGTTTCTTCCAGGGTGTGTCTTCCAGGTTTCTTCCAGACTGCCACCATCATATGTTATAAGATGGATTGCCATCCTTTTCTTTAAAGAAATAATTTCCCTTAGACGTGTGTGTGTGTGTGTGTGTGTGTGTGTGTGTGTGTGTGTGTCTGTATGGGCAACTCTGATAGGCTTGGCCAGCTGGGCCCTGAACATGATAGGTTGGGCCTTTTCCATGTTATATCTATAAATATATTTAAATATATATTTACATAAATATATTTAAATTTATATATTTAAATATCAATGCATATATTTATACATAAATGTATATATACATTTTATAAAATACACCTATGTTTCAGATAGATATAAATTTATATACAAATTTTTATATGTGTAAAACATATATATATATATAACTTTTCTAAACAAACAACAGACTGATTCTGGTTTTATCACAACCACCTATGACCCAGTTGGTGCTATAGGTGGAGAAGGTAAGGCCCAATGAGCTGGCAGTTCTTTGACCAGGGTCTTGGGGCATGTCAGGGACCTGGCAAGGGCAAAAACCCAGAATCTCCCTCAATCTATGGAAAGACTATGGAGTCCTAGGTTCTTGGGCTGAATGGAACCACGAGAGGATGTATATCCCAATCCCCCATTCCATGTAAAATTATACTAGAGCCACCTGCTCCCTTGGTCCCCAGAGAAAGCTCCCTTTTGGTCTTCCTCAAAAATACATTTGTAGAGCTAAAGTTATAATGGAGACAATTTAATTTACCTGGAAAGAATATCATTTTTAATGAAATCCCTGCTTCAAGGAATGAGAATCCACAACATTCCCTTCTAACACTGGGTGATCTAAGCACGCAGGGTGCTTTTCTGACCTTGTACTGGGATAGCCTCAGAGGGCACTTGGGCACGTGTTTTCTTTGGGGAGGATTGGCGGGATCATGGGATCATTGGTGTCTGGGTGCCTCACTCCACCTCCTTGCCTAAGCCAGCCTCTAGTCACCAGTCAGGAAGTCAGCAACTCTGAGAAACTGAGCCTCTGAAGCTGTGTCCCGCTCCCTGCTTTCTGGCAGAAAGTCCCTCAGTGGTAAAGTCAAGCAAAGCTAGATGATGCTTGTTCTTGTTCCAGGCAGATGACACTTGTTCTCTCTGAGCTTACCATCTTAGAGAGACATCATTTGTTATGGAAAAACATCCCGAGAATATGCAGGCGGTACCAAAGCCACATCTGGCCCCTTTGAAACCATGAGGCCAACCTCTCCACAACTACAAAGAAAAGTCTTCGTCCCCATTCAAACATCTGGGAAAAACACCAGCCTTCCCAGTACATTGTTATTTTGCTCTGAGCAGAATTATTTACAGCTTGTGGGCATGGAATGCCCATTTTTTCATCCCTGGTCATCTGGTCTACCACTTAGCCCATTTTCTCTGGACCCAGAAAGCTTTCATAGAATACAAGAGAGGCAAAATCTCAGGCGTGTGTTTGGACAACACATTGGTATGTCCCCATCCCCCAACTCCATCCACTCCATAACAGGTGAAAATAATGCATGGCGTATGCCTTGAAGGCTAAATTTTCTTGTATATGATTGACGTGTGCTTAAAACTTTGTATGTTTTAAAATGTACCACCCTTTAAACAATGGCAATTGCACAGTAACTCATAAAGCCATGGGCAAGCTGCTTCTCTGAGTCTAACTGTCCTCATCTCTTGATGAATGTGGTAGCATTAAAATCACATGTAAGGTGTCTTCAAGCTCTAGTGCCCTCTGAACTTCTCTCTAATGAGCAAAGCTGGTCACTGCTGATTCCAAATACAAGCCACTCCTCTTTCAAAAGATGTTTCCTTTCCATTTCTACTCTGCCAGAGGATGTATACAACATAATTATGTAGTTAAATTCAAAGATGTAGAACGAAAATTCTTTTACCAAATCTTAGGGTCTTTTATCTCCAAAGTTCTTTATAATTTGTATAATTATGAAGGTTGCATTTTGAGTTTGGTCATATAAGATCACTATGATTATGATTACTGGATCTTCCACTCTCAATAAATCAGACTCCTTCAATTCAGCCTTGAAGTACCTGGCATGGATGACACAGATGCAACATAAACAAGAAAAGAAGTCTTTCATAGTCAGAAGAGAAATGATGATTGAGCCTGCCAGTGAGAAAGGAGTCGTGTAAATTATAAAAATTAGACCCAGTAGTTTTTAACACATCTGTAGGGCAAAGATTTGGTGGCCTAACACAGTGGTCCCTAACCCTTTTGGCACAGGGGACAGGTTTCCTGGAAGACAGTTTTTCCATGGACTGGAGGGGTGGGGTGTTATTTCAGGATGATTCAAGTGCATTACATTTATTGTACACTTTATTTCTATTATTATTACATTGTAATATATAATGAAATAATTTTACAACTCACCGTCATGTAGAATCAGTGGGAGCCCTGAGCTTGTTTTCCTGCAGCTAGACGGTCCCATCTGGGGGTGATGGGAGACAGTGACAGATCATCAGGCATTAGATTCTCACAAGGAGCTCCCAGCCTAGATCCCTCACATGCGTAATTCACAATAGGGTTCACCCTCCTATGAGAATCGAATGCCACCACTGATCTGACAAGAGGCGGAGCTCAGGTGTTCATGAGTGATGGGGAGTGACTGTAAATACAGATGAAGCTTCGCTTGCTCGCCTGCTGCTGTGTGGCCCAGTTCCTAACAGGCCAAGGACCGGTACTGGTCTGTGGCCCGGGGATTGAGGATCCCTGGCCTACTAGATCTGGGTTTAAATCCAGACTTTACAATATACTCATTGTGTGACCTTGGCAAAGTTATTCTAGAAAGATTTCCATCTAACTTAAAAAAAAAGTTTTTACATTTAAACAAAACTAAACTAAAAACCAGCTTGGATAAATGCTGAGCTATCTAGAAAACATAAAATGTGGACATCTGAGGAAAAAAGAACCATTCTTGGAGTTTCCAGGTGACCAGCATTTTACTGTGTGGCAAAGGCTTTTATGTTTAAAACTGATGCTTTGGAAGCGTTGCCTCTCCAGGGGGTGAAACCGGAGAGAACAACTCAGGGACAGTCGTTTTCTCTTCTGTTCCTGGCTCAGTGGCTTTTAGTGGGCAGTAAAGCTCTTACGTACCTTCAGAGTCCACATAGAATTCTTTCCCCAAGGGAGATACATATTCATTCTAAAGGCCAGTTTTGTTTTTTTAAAAAAAAAAAAACACACACAAAAAAACAGAGGCAAGTCTGGGGAGTTAG